AGCCACAATACCGAAGACTGCATCAGTCTGAGGAAAATTGTCGAGCGTCTGATTCGGAAAGGAAAGTGGGAGCAGTCCCTCGCCAGGCCGCCACAGGCCCTGGCACCGAATGCGAATCGGCAGATCAACATGATCAACACGATCAGCGGCGGCCCCACTCTGGCGGGACTCTCTAACCGTTCGATGAAGCAGTATGTGCGTGCCGCCCACTGCCCTCAAGTCTTCGGCATAGAGGACGATCGGTGCCGAAAGTTGCCGAAGGTGGGATGGGAGCCTATCACATTTTGTGAAGAAGATGAGGAGGGGATCATCTACCCCCACGACGACCCAATGATCATTCAGGCCGAGATCGTCGATTACGATGTGGGTCGGGTGCTGATTGACACCGGAAGCTCGGTGAACGTGATTTTTGCCGATGCGTTCAAGGGACTGGGGATTGCCGACAGCATGGTCAATCGGCAAATTACGCCTCTACTCAGTTTTTCTGGAGATCTGGTCCAGCCAGTTGGTAGCATCAGTCTGCCCATCGCCTTCGGCGTCGCCCCCAGGAAAACAATGACCTACGACCAATTCCTCATTGTCGATTGCCCAACGGCATACAACGTCATCATAGGGCGAACGACACTCACCAGGATCAAAGCCCACTTGTCGCCCCACATGTTGCTGATGAAGTTCCCAACACGCAACGGTACCGGAGTCATTCGGGGTGGTCAGCTCAGCGTACGGACGTGCTATGCCACGGCCCTTAAGTCGGTAGCTAGCAAACCGCCCATGGAGGCCATGACCTTGCAGGGACTAGTAGCGAACTTATTGACGACCCCAGGGAGGAAAACCCAGCGCCGATGGCGCAGCCCGCCGAGGAGCTCGAGACCGTAATCCTGAACGAGGAGTTCCCCGATCGGTGGGTAAAGATCGGCACCAATCTGGATCCGGACCTCCGAAGACAGTTCATTGACTTCTTACGGCAGCAGGCGGAAGTCTTCGCCTGGTCTTATGACGATATGCCCGGCATATCCCCTAATGTCATCAGCCACAAGCTCAGTATCTCCACCGCACACAAACCGGTCAGACAAAAGCGCCGATTGTACGACGCCGAATGATACGAGGCAATGCGTGCCGAAGTTGACAAGCTCAAAGCCATCGGCTTTATCAGGGAAGAGATGTACCCTGTTTGGCTTGCCAACTCAGTCATGGTTCGGAAGGCCAGGGGAGGATGGCGGATGTGTCAGGACTATACCGACCTGAATAAGGCTTGTTCGAAGGACTCCCTTACTGAGGATCGACCAGCTCGTCGATGCCACCGCCGGGCACGAGCTGCTCAGCTTCATGGACACATATTCAGGATACAACCAGATCTTCATGGACCCTGCCGATAGAGAACATACGACATTCATCACGGATCGCGATTTGTACTGTTACAATGTCATGCCCTTCGGCCTGAAGAACGCGGGGGCAACTTACCAACGGCTCGTCAACCGGATCTTCGCTAAATACATCGGCGGCATCCTGGAGGGTTATGTTGACGACATGTTGGGAAAGAGCCAAACGGCAGGGGGGCACCTGGATGTTCGGTATTCTAAAGGACTACCGAATGTGGCTGAACCCGGCGAAGTGCGCCTTCGCTGTATCTTCTGGTAAATTTCTCGGGTTCATGATCAGTCAAAGGGGAATCGAGGCCAATCCCGAGAAAATCAAAGCCATAATCGACATGGAGACGCCGAAGACGCAGAAGGACATTCAGAGCCTTACCGGACGTGTCGCTGCCCTGACACG